TTGGCAGAGCATTGGGCTAGTATTCCAAAGGTCGTAGGTTCGAATCCCACCGTGGCCAGGCATATTTTTCAAGCCTGCCCGGTGTGGATATACACTCAGAGTAACATCACACAAGCATCTTATTCACCTGAGTACATTATACCAACACAGCAAATTTCAAGATACATGTAGGTTTACTAAAGCAAAATCCGAGCTAAAAACGTCAATAAATATCGGGCTGTTGTGATTTTGCTGTTACTCGTAACGAGCGTCAAGATGGCGCTATATTGGGGGTAAAGGTGGTATATTGTGATTGTCATATCTTCTTAACGAGTTCGGTGACCCCGACTTTTCTGTGTGATTTTACTTTAAGTATAATTATCATAAACTCCATGCCTGGGAAGTTTCAGCACATTCTCATTTCGGGAACAATTACTGCGGAATTACCTTAATCAGTAATTTCACAATTTTCGAAAGCCTATTATTCGAAGGGTATTCATGTAAACGTCTTCAAACTTTCTATACTTACTAATTTTGAGGTGGTCTTTTTACTGGTTTGCTTAATTTCTTAATTTGGGCATTTTTTGAACACTCGTCCCCAGTCCTCTCATCAACTTCGGAATGGCTAATTGAGAACTCTCCCGTCGATGAATAAAATCATCTGCCAATAGACAGAGTAAAATAATAAAGTAGGATACAGTGGGTCACAGTGCCACTCTGTTGTAGACACATGGACAGATAGTCTGATTAACACATTGAGCACCAGCATTCTCCCCTTGATGAGTAAAATTGTCTGGCAATAGATAGAGAGTAAAATAATATAAGACACACTGGGTGCAATGCAATTCAATTGATTAACAAATTGACTGATATGATGGGTTGGGTTCTTATTGAAGCTGTTAAAGAAATTTGCTGGAGTGAGCATGAAAAAATGGTATGAGGATGATAGCCCTCGACTAATACTGTACATTTCATCATGCTTAATGTTTAGCATAGTGGTCCCTGAAGCTTTAACCCCCTTGAACTCTTAAAAGCATGGCCCAAAATTGAGGAAGAAAAACCAAATTTTAATGCAATAGGTTAAAACTTCAGCAATGAGTAAATATAAAATGTCAGATAGTTATCCTTTGTTTGCAATTCATTTTGTGACAGAAAATTTCTTTAACAGCTTCAATAAGAACCCTTCCGTTCATATCAGTGAATTTGGTGTTATCCACCATACTTGGCATTCTTTTGTACATGAACTTGCGGTTACAACTTGACATCTGGCCTCTGTACTGTAGCTCAGTTGGTTAAAGGACAAGTGTTGTATTTTTCGCAACGTTCCTGATTAGGTCTTAAATTGTGTATATATGTACAGTACATGTATATGCTCCCTTGGATTCAGTTTCCTCCAAACGCAACATTCAGCATAAAACGAAACTATTATCTCTGCTCAAGGTTGATTCTGAAACTTGAGACATTTCCAGCTAGATAACGAAACATACAGTATCTGCATAGTGTATAATAATTTATTTGAACATTTGTAATCGAGGCATATATAATTGTATTAAGTTTTGTTGAACTTCCTCAGATGAGATAATTATACAGGTACAGGTATTACTTTTATTGATCAGCTTTTAACTTGGTTCTTTGCTCTGCGTTGCTGTATTCAAGAAGAGTTTATGATCGACCCTTTGGCTGTTTGGGAGACCAAGTCGAAAGCTCAATAATAGAATTACTGATAACAATATTGCGCTGCCCAAGCGAAGTTATGCATCGGTTCATATTCGCTTCTGTTAGTTTGTTAGCTTGTTTGGTATCATAAGCCTTGGTATTTGTCGAAAAAATATGATGTCTTCGTGTTTGTGGTGCTTTTGTTTTGCGAATGCTGCGGAGCACCACTCTATAGTACTACTGTATGTCTGGTGTAATCTAGTGATCTTCAACGAAACAAGCCACAAGGATAGTTTATATTTGGTTATAAAGTACGACGTGTCCTTAATTATTTTACCATTTCTGATTAGAACAAATTCATCATATAGTCTACTCTATCTACAGTGTGTAAAACTGAACCCTTTCAAATTCAAATTAGCTATAACGTATTGTAGTAATTTGACAGCTCTCATTGTTTTGAATTAATGGTTGTGTAAGAACACAAGGTCTTGTACTCAGGGGACTAAACTCAAAGAAATAAAAATTAGAAAATTTAAAAGAAATACAGTTATTTTAGACGGTATTTCTTTTAAATTTTCTAATTTTTATTTCTTTGAGTTTTGTCCCATGAGTACAAGACATTGTGTTCTTACCCAACCATTCATTTAAAGCAATTAGAGCTGTCAAATTACTACAATACGTTATAACTAATTTAACAATTACTACAATATGTTATAGCCAATTTTTTTATACACATTGTATAACTACATGCACTGGGTTACTGTAATCCCCAATGTTGTTTATACCAAATTTACAACTTTAGATAACTCACATGCCTGGTTAGTTACTATGCTGTTCTAGTTTACAGAAGCATATAATAGAACAAAGGTAACTATATTATTTGAATTATGTACATGATTGAGTGAATGACTCTTATATAATACATAGATAATTCTAATGGTTATTTACCTTTGTATTCTATTCTATGCTTCTACATGTAAACTAGAACTATTGTAACTTGGCATGTGAGTTATGAAACGTTGTGAAGTGGTTAACAACGATGTAAACAACGTTCGATTTTTCTATTGTAAGAGTGCTCTTAAGATAGTTAACTTCACTCCAAAAATCAGTTCACAAAATCCCATTAGGCATCCCAATTTCATGCATGCCCATGCATGAAGTTCATGAACCTCCCAAATGATCATGATTATTGCAGTATGCTATTGAAGCCTATTCTGAGGCTGCATGGCATATTGAGGAGTGTGTTCAGTTATCCAATTATTGCTTTTATGTTTTAGGTAACAGCTTTCACGATGGGGAAGATTATTCTGTATGTCTTGATACTTCAATAGATGTTTGGTCAATTGGCTGTGTGCTTCTTTATTTATCCACTGGTCAACAGCTGTATTCAGTTGAGCATGCTCTGCAGCTCCCTCTAATGTGCACAAACTGTGAGTCAACATGTGGTCCCTGTTTGCATTCATTAAGGGCAACACATCTTATAACTTCCAACAGAAATGAACTACAAAATTGGAACATTAAAAATCTTACTTATATTATTTCTGGATTTTTACAATGTCATCCTGCTCACCGTTCTCGACCAAGCTCCGTATTAAAGGATTCATTTTTGGTAGCAAGCGAAATGCTTCAAGCTAGCATAACCGATTTATTATTGCTACCAACAAGAGTTCTCCGTTTGCTGAACATGTTTGATAGGAGTGATTCAGAAGATATCGAAGATATTGAGTTGGATATTCAAGATGAATGTGAAAGGTTTGGGGAACTTGTTTCAGTGAGAACAAGCACGAAAATTAACGATGGCCATAATGTTTATATTGAATATATGGATGCTGAAGATTGCTGTAAGGCGCAAAGTTCATTAACTGGAAGATATTTTGATAATAGATGTGTTGTGGCTACATTCTTTCCATGGCAACAGTTTCAGGATAATAATTTCTATTAAAGAATTTGGTTGTTCTGTAGGATAGCAGAGTCAGTGGTTCGTTCGTCTGGAATCGTGTCTTGTCACGTCTACTTCAAAATTTCCTCAATTCATAGTGGGTGAGTACAGTACTTTCAATTGTTTTCCGAAAATGTTATTGGTCATGATGAATGAATATCTACAAAATGAAAAAGGATTTAAGCCTAAAAGAGCCCTTATTGTACTTTTACTATTTTACACTGGCAAATGCCACATAATGTATATAACGGTTTGTGCCGGTGTTGGTAGTGCCAATAATAACAAAACTTGGTTGATTGTCAACCGAGTTTTGTCAGGTATATAATGCCAGGGATTTCTTGTCATACACTTTGTAATATACACTGGCGGTGAAAAGGAACTGCTCAAATGGTTTTAGTAGGATAAGCTGCTATTACAAGAATAAGTAAAATCACTTGGCATATATATTCTGCATGTAGCGTGGTCCGCAATGTAGTTTCCTGTTTTATGTGTAGGTAACATGATGGTTTCGAGTGCAATTTGGGTAAAGCATGCCCGAGTGAGTTTTTCAAAGAGCATCAAAATTGAATAATTTTAATCACTGTAATTTCACATGCGCATTCGAAACCATCGAACGTCGATGACTTAATGGACGTTCGCAGATGCCCAGGTATAAATAGCCATAATATAATAATGCGGGGCGCATTAGTGCCCTCATAACATTTTAGGAAGCATTTTAGGATTTTTACATTCAGGTTGGATTTTGTATTACCGCTCATAAAATGTAAAAAAGTACCTAAAGTATACATTTCGGAAATTCATTGTTGTATAGTTAAAAGTACAAATCTTTCAACTATTTTTGCCATTTTGTACCGACAAAATATAAAAAGAATTTTAAAAATTTAAAATGATTGTTTTGCCATGGCAACACTTGACGCACAACACGAGCCTGCGTTCAATTACTAATACTTCATGTTAAATCAATGTTTGGAAAATGTAGGCGAGTGATTGTTGCATAGATGTATTTCTAGTTTAGTATGTCAATACGCAAGTCAAAGTGGTTGGTTGAAAACATTTTCATTATCAGCAACTTTTTGTGTTTGTTCATGAGGTGTTTCAATCCTAGCAAGAGTGGAAGACTCAAAGAGATCAAAATGTGGCGAATTTAAAACACGTCCATCTCATTTTACCAAAATCGTACAACAGGCGAACTATTGTGTAATGTAAAAGGTCAAAAAAAATTTGTATTTGGTCTGATATAATGTCTATAATGTGCATATAGTTATCATTTCAACCTTGCTTGTGCTTTAACCATTGAGGTAGCCTTGAATGGCCTGTTGACCTTTTACTACAAAACTTATACTGATTCACCTAAACCTAAAAATCCTGTGGATTTTCTAGAAACTAGTGTTGCAACATCTGAGCCATGGAATGAGAATGTGTAATTATGCAAAACACCGAATCATTTCCAAGTACTGAATTTGAAGTTGGATGTGATCTAATCCCGGAATTGCTTGAAGAAGATTTCCCTGCAGAGTCGCCCAATCTATTACCAGAGATACCTCCACGACCCCAGCTGGAAATGAAGGTGCAAAACGTGAGGTTAGCAAATGAAAATTGATATTTCAGAGCTGTTAGCAAAAAGCCAGCCTGTAAATTTATTTAAAAAAATAATTAGTTCTAATTTCTAATATTCTCATAGCACGATTTTCCGTTGCCTTTTTACCATAGATATTTCCCTCTTATTGCGATGTCTGCTAAGCATGGCGATATAGAAAGTTGTATAGGTTTGCCTTCAAGCCAAATGGCGGCTGCGGGAGCGAACGATTTTGTTTCTAAGAGAGAATGACGGATTTTAACACATGTTTGAATGCGTCCATAATATTTATCTAGCGGAAAACAAGCAGGCAACTTTAACTACTTGTAGGTGTGATTTCATGAAGCTCTGTGCAATAATGAAGTGAATAGCCACGAAAATACGTGGACAAGAAGGCGACATGTGAATATTCTTGGCTGAGAATCTCTTGCAAATTGACGTTTTTGCTTATAGGATCGGATGGTTTTTTTTGTTCAATTAAATATCTCTGAGAGATACTGTATTTATACTGGATCCCTATTTTAATTAGATCCTGCAAATTTATAAATGCCATGTTTCCTCTGTGAAATTAACAAGTTTTGTCATGATTTTGTTTTTAATCATAAAAGAGCTCTCGTCTCTTTTATCAAATTTGTAGGCCTAAATATCGTCAAACCGGATAAATTGCCTTAAATTAAGTTAAGTTATAATAGCAAGAATATTTAATAGTGAATGTGTCCTCTTTATCTCAGTTCCGTATTTTGCCATGATTTTGTATACATTTGCTCTTCCGTTATCCAAAGAGAAAACCCGATCTGCCAAAAAAGATATCATATCGCTTGTGTAGCATTTAGCACATTTTATCTTCCACCTCATGAAGGGCTCGCCAAAACCACTTCCGCTAGTGCTTTTTTCGGCGAAATGCGAACAATCTTGCGAAATGAATGGGGAAAATTGTGCTTCACAAGTGAGAAGAAATCAGTTCAATTCGTACAGATAGCGAAAAAAGTCGGAAAATTCAATGGATGATTCCAGCTATAGACTAAATTTTGATCTAGGCAAGAAAAACAAAATCCATCACCACATCTATCAAGAGCATGTTAAAATTAGTAAAATTGCAATGGTTGGGTGCGAAATGTTGTAAAATGAGGAAAATATAGCCCTACGAAATTTGCAAATTTTGTATTAATTTGTATTACGTACGGGAAAATGCACCACTTTCAGCACAAATGTACAGCACCTGAAAACCCGATAACATGAATATTCTAGTCTATCTAAAAAAAGGTAAAACTCACAGGCAATTTTAAATACAAGCATGAAACTTTCATGCATATACGAAACATGTAAACATGAAATAAAAATGACTCCTTTTTAAGTAAAAATGGATGACTCATTTTTCTAAGTAAAAATGAATGACTCGTTTTTTTAATGAACATTTTGTGATACCATGGTAACAATAGTGGTGGTCATTCACCTTTAAACCTTTTTTTTTTCAATTTATGCCATATTAATGTGAAAGTATCATTTTTAGAAAGAGTTTGGTGATAGAAAATGACTTATGCAAAAAAATTTTTCACAAAGTCACTAATTAGACTAATTAGCCAATATGGCGGCCGCTAATTAGCCCATAAATGCTCAACGTTTGAAACATGATATCACATGAACCAATTACTCAAATTTAATGTATGATATATTTTTAGAAAGCTTAGAACCTAATCTAGTGCCTTCCTTTCTTTATTTTCACCTTAAAGTTGTTTTTTTCAAAATGTTGATATTAAATGTGAATATTAAGGGAAAATTCAATTTTTCGACAGCAATTTAGGTAATTAAATATCAAATTTTTGTTAATAATGAAACATATTGAGATTTGAAGAAAGGAAGGCACTAGCTAAAGGCATTAGCCAATATCATGCCAAGTTTCAACTATTTACAGAAAATATTGAAGACGATATGATGCAACAAAGATTTCTCGAAACAGCAAAATCATCAAAATGAGAAAATGCTGTTTTGAAGTTTCGTTCTGTTTTTTTTTTGCTTCAGAAATGTTCAGAAGGCCCCTGCTTCATAAGTAGTACCTTCATTGTCTTGCACATCATCAATATAATGTTTTCTCAGATGTCTCAATGTTTTCCTTCTGCTTTTCACCTTCTCCGTTACTTTCTTGGCCGACAGTTTGATCCTCGCTGTGTCACTATCGTGTGCACCCTTGCTGGTGAATATCCCAGGAGTGATATCCAAATCACTCAGAATCTTCAAAAAGGAAATGTCCCCATCATTGAACCTTAGGACAGCAAGATAAGTGGCAAGAGCAACAGTCTCCTGCTCCACATATGTGGATTTAGGACATCTGTCCCAAATAAGTCCGTTCAAACATTCATTGACATTCTGTGTCATGCCGTGAGTGCACTTACTTAATAAGTCAGTCTTACTTAGATCATCAAATATGGGTTTGATTACATTCATAATACATGGTGGAATACCATTCTTGTGTTTATAATTATCCTTATCCCTGTTATAGCCACACCAACTGTCCTCTCCATCAGGACAGAGGTGATGTTGTGGATTCTCGTCTGTCGATACAACATGGTACAGTGATGCTTCTATGGCCGTAGCCATTTCACCAACATCACTGAGGTTTTCTCTCACTGCCAGCCCATAATAGTTCTGAAGAACATCTATTTTGCTATCAGTGAGCCTACCTTTGCCAGCCAAGCCTTTTCCATCTACCAATTTTACACCTTTACTTTGATTTTTTAATTTCCGCAACCGACTACCGACCCTTTTCTGGACATGTCCAATGCATTCCATTTTATTTGGTATGCATTCATCTCCATATGGCTTGCTTTCAACAATTTTGTTGTAAGTTGAGGAATCCCCATCACCAAGCATGTTCTTATACTTGAGTCCTCTTGTTTGAAACGACCGTTTGAAGATTCGTAAAGCACCAACTGTCTCCATGCTGTTTGCACTTCCTACATGGTTAATTTTGCAGTTGTGTGTAGCTTTCCATTCTTCATATCTTGGATCACTTTCCTTCTTTTGCCACTTTTGACATTGTGTGCACTTGTCTGACATCACTTCAACATCAAGACATTTCTTCGAATCCAGCGAAATCACTGTCACAATGCCATTGTGTGACGCATGGCCCCTCTTCTGCCACGTACCATCGATTAATACCCCACATTCTCCAGCATCATTGGCATTCTGTTCCCTCGCTTCCATAGCATTATTCACCATACTATCACTAGCCAATTGCTTTACCACAGGTAGGAGCTTTTTATTCTGAATCTTAGTAAAGATGCGACGTGTTGGCGGTTCAGGCATATTCATAACTTTGCTGAAGGTTTTCATGGCACTATGTCCTCTACCAATTTCTCTAAATGCCAGGACTGCTCTTAGGTTTATCTCATGAGAATGTCCCTGCTTTTTTGATGTACTAAAACAGTGTTTCCAGTCACACTCCACAGCTTTACACTTTATCACAATATAATGGGAAAAGCCATGCTTCTTCTTCAGGTCAACATGTGAATCTATATCACCACCACACTCAGGACATTTTAAAATGTCATCGAAAACACCAAATAGGGCAGATAAATCCATAAAAATTGTACCTTCCTTCAAATTAGTGCTCATACCAGCTGAAATATCATCAAACTTTGCCGTATTTTCACCAATTTTCTTGGCAGAAGGTCCAGGGTTTTTATAAGTGGATCCGCCATCTTGGATAATTTTTCGCCTCTTTGACGGTGGAATTATTGCTTTCTTTCGCGATCTGTTTCTAGTATTTCCCATTTATTTACTTCGATATACAATCAGAATAACAAATAGAAGATATTTTAATACAAAGGAAGCAACTTTTCGACTAATAAAACGTTAAAAAACAGCGATTTTCGAAGACGACTTTTCACACAACACGTTGCGACTAGACCACAAGTTCGGCATAGAAAGCTCGTTGCCATGGCTTCAAAAACGGACCAATCACAAACAGACTGAATAAGAAGGTCTTAAAGACCATACATCAAAAGTAGAAATACTAAAGAATCGTTTCTATTGAATATTTCATGCATTTTTTGGATGAAAACGCGTTGCTAAGGCGTTGCTATGGAGGAAATTTCGCAGCCTTGCTACTTTAAACGCATTTTTCACTTATAAAAAATAAAAATCTTGCGAAACTAACTATAAATTCTAAAACTACAATATTTAAAATACTTAAAATGCATTTAATAAAAATTTCGAAAAAATTACTTTGAAAGGGGGGAATGACCACCTGCAGTATCTGGAACATTCATTAGCATGAATAAGGTCTCTAACAGTCTAACATTAGATTTGCATTCGTCATTTAGATCAATCATCATAAAATCTCTAATTGAGCCCAAACTGGGGATGATAAATCAGCTGAAAGAAGGTCTTCTTGTTTGTGGCTTGCTTGAAGCCATCCAGAAAGATCCAGAACTTTTTAGACCAGTTTTTGTCCACACTGATTTGTTTGCAGTTACATCAGAAGAATTTTTGGATGAATTAAAAGTTACCTATAGCGAGAAACAAGTGGAGAAAATGGCAGAGGAAACAACTTTTAAGCACTTTTGTGATCTTGTTGAGCATCTCTACCACATTGGCAAGTATATAAAAAAAAATTTCAGAAAACCTACAATATACTGTTTCTTTTCATAACCTGCCATCAGACTTTGTATTCACAACCAATAACAAGTTTAAAAATATAATAAATCTCACAAAATATAGTTTTGATCACTCACTAAAACTAGTCACTATGACTAGTTTAGATAATGCCCTCCTGGCTTATCAGGTTTATTACTTCCAGGAGGGCATTATCTAGACTAGTTATAGTGACTAGTTTTAGTGAGTGATCAAAACTATATTTTGTGAGATTTATTATATTTTTAAACTTGTTATTAGCTGTGAATAGCTCAGTGTTCTCTCAGTCAAACTTTTTATTAGCTGTGAATAGCTCAGTGAATAGCTCAGAGTTCAAAGGATGCCGACAGGCTTAACCCCTCAGAAACGACTTTTTGAGTCACCCTTCAGAAAAACTAATCCGTAGGGGTGGGACATTAAATGTAATGGCCCTTATTAAAACCCATTGAGTCGCATTGCGCCCTAATTTATTATTTTACTCTGTCTATCGTCAGACGACTTTACTCATCAAGGGGAGAGCGCTGTTGCTTAATTTGTTTACTAACACCACACTATGTCTATATTTTAGGAATAGAAGAGCACAATCTTCAATTGAGAGATCTCATGAGATTTATCACTGGGTCATTCCAGCTACCCCCACTTGGTCTTCCAGGAGCAATTGAGGTCAAGTTTGTTCATGGTTGTGCTGATGGTTGTAAGTGTCGTCCCACTGTATCTACATGTAAGTTGGTGCTGAAAATTCCAGTCCATGCATCAACATTTGCAAACATGAAAGAGATGATGACTTCAGCAATGTTAGAAGGATTTGGTTTTGGAAAATTATGACACTTTTAGATTATTGTTGTTACAATCAGTGAGATAAACAATTTGAAACTAAAAGTTTTTTTAGAACTATGATAACTACTGTTTTGTTGGGACGTTTTGTTGAGTTTTATAGGCTACAGGTAATTCTTAGTATTATTAATACTATGGTTAATGCCAATGTTTATGACAATAAGGATGAATAATAGAGATGAGCCCATAATTAAATTGGAAAATAATTAAATATTAATTAACATAATTTTTAATATCAGCGCCACAATCCTATCTAGAATAAACAAATTAGACTTATCACAGCCTTGTTTAGACATTTCCAGTTTTGTGCAAGGATGAAAGAAAATCAAATAATTGAAAATAATTTTGAGAAATCTGGCACCAACAACAATCTTCACAAAGTTTCCACAATTATTTGGCACTTCTCTATTTCATTGATGATTTTGTCTCAAACAATACTGTTGCTATATCTTGTTCTGATAGAAGATGCAAATTGATATTTTGATATTAACATTAATATTTTTTTATAAATAGTGGTGTTTTGTAAACTTAGTACATAAGTTATTACTGTATCTATCATTCATCAGTTAAATTTTGATTGACATAAATATCAATTATTCCACAAACATTTAAATAAAGCAACTTGCCATGTTCATTATCTTCATCCAATGGGTTTACTAATGTTTGCAGCGAAACCCATTGTTCTCTTGTAAGTACAATTTCAGATTCTGGAACCACAACATTATTTCCTGTTTGGACTTCAGGCAGTGGACCTTCATCATCAACTCCATAGGTATTAGTGTCTAATGTGTTTGGACTGACCAGATCTCTGACAGTACGACGATTGGAGTTAGCAAACTCATAGAAACCTTGAACCCATACTTGATAAGGACTTAAGTTGCTTTCAGTTGACAGTGGATGGTTATTCCACTGCGACACGAAAATTGATATTGCTTTGTTAATCCGGGGTTCAAAAACATAGTGCAAGGCAAAAAGATGAATTTCATTTAAAGGATCTAACAGTTCAAGCGATTCCAAGTAATAAAAAAAGTTACGAAAATAAGTGGTAATGTAGGTATTGACATCTCTCCACAGCCTCTCGATTCTTTGGTTGTGCACTGAAAGACCAGTCAAGAATGGTTTCGAAGCAACACCATAGTGGTTAAGCATCCACCTAGCAACAGCGACATTTTCCGTTCCATGGTCAGCCCGGATTCTAAGCGGGCATTGGAAAGTGTCCATAGAGTTGAGGAATAGATTGAACACAGTTTGACTTCTGTTGTTGCATGAACAGGCTAAAAAGACAATACATCGTGAATAACCATCAATGCCACCATGAAGAACAAATCTCCACCGGATCATTTTGTGGTTACCATCAATGTGCCTAGAAAAGGATATCACAAAAGAGTTACGAAAGGACAAAGTAAAGTAAAGACAATATTTCCAAAGATTTAGGAAAACTGAAGTTAGGGTTGAGAATTATTTATACAGTGTTGCATTAATATAAAAGCATTTTCGTCCTTGTCATGGAACTTCTTTTTTGTACTTCACATTTATATTGTCCATAGGCATTTTATAATCAAATATCAAAATATCAATGTGTACTAAACAGTCACTATTATTGCTTGGGGTGGGGTATAGACTCAATTTGTTTGCCCGGGGGTGGGGCTTTAGCACAATTCTTCTTGCTCTGGGGTTGGGGAGATAGCCATTTTCTTTTCAGAAATAGCTAATTCATGGGGAGGCACTGCTGGTATTGACTGATACATTACCACAATGCATTTGGTGTCCTGACACTGTAAACTCGCCGATGAATAGATGTCCTTCTCCGTAGATCTCGGCTAACTGGATCAACTCTTCTGACAGAATTTCTCATTCTTTCTCTCTGCACTTTAACACCATGGCTTCTAAGTGCACCTAAAAGCATTCTTTCGCCAGAATTTGGGGAAAAATGAAGAATACGCCTGACAAAAACGTCCAAGTTATCATTTGAAATATCACTATAGCTGCTTGTCTGTCCAACATCCATTCCAAGCTGCTCCCTACGTCGTCGTATAGTTCGCTCTGACACTCCAAGCATTTGGGCAATTTTATTCCACGTGAAGTGCAATGAGCGTAAACCTTCAAGTTGAGCTTTAGGGATATGAAATCGGGGTCTACCCCGAATCCTGGACCCTTCCTCGTTGTTTTCGTAAGGGCAGTTGTAATGCTGGTCCTCATCCTCTTCGAGGAAGCAAAACCGTTCATTAATTATTCCAAGTTGCTCGTTAAAGCATTCGATCACAGTTTGAAATCTCTGGTGAACTTCCTCAGACCACAGTGTCAAGCGATCGAGTATTATTAAGCCGTAAACAAACTCCTCGCTACGAATGACCAGCAACTCCGCTAACCTTTTGTCGTCTGTAAAACGGTGGCGAACAAGTTCTTCCAAAAGATTAAATCCGTGGTTTACGTACACTAAACAATTATCAGATATACCGTCTCCTTCCGCCATTGCCTTTTCAGTGTTTCCATTCTCAAAAAAGTAAAATTCCGAATAATTTTTTCGCGTCTTAAATGGTCTAAAGTTCGTATTACATTTGGGAAGTTGACATTATATTTGGAAATTTGGTATTATATTTGAGAAGTTGATATAAATATGTGCGATAAAATTGATATTATATTTGGGAGTTTCGCATTATATTTGCGAATGTGTTATTATATTTGGGAGTTTCGCTTTATATTTGCGAATTTGTTATTACATTTGGGAGTTTCGCATTATATTTGTGAATTTGTTATTACATTTGCGAATTTCGCATTATATTTGCATGTTTGCTATTATATTTTTGGATTTCGCGTTCAGTATTCGCAATTGGTCTTATATTTTTGGTCTTGATAATAAATATATACGGCTATATCGATTATTGTCCATCTTGGCGCGCCATAATTTTAACGCATCTAAAGCCTCCAGAGCAGCCAGTACGTCGGTATTCTCGCCAGAGAAACGTCGTTCCAACTCTTGGAGGAGCATGGGAACAGAAGCTGCCCTGAGACGTTCACAGAACTCGTGAGGGCATGCAGATTCTGTGGAATCTTGTCTGGAAACATACACGGGTTCCTCGTAGTCCAAGGTAATGTTCACAGTTCACATAGCTGTTTGGCCGATTCAATGATATCGTTGGTTTCAATCTCAACAAGAAGCTTCTTTACAGCCACCATTTCATTGGCTATGTTTAGCCATTTGACATTGGTCTCTTGCATAGCCTTACTTAATCCATGCATTATTGACAAAAGCTGATGAAGAAAGTATAGGGAGATTACAAATTTTCCCGAGAGAATCTTGTGGTAGAGTCCCGCTGCTGAATCGGCTTAGCTCGAATTTGAAGCGCCGATCTGTCGAAGGCTTACGAGAATCGCTTTAAGTATTTTAACCATTGTATTAACACCCTCAAACTTACAAGCCCATCGAACTTCTGTAAGGGAGGAAGCTGCCATTATGGCCATTATGGGCTGTTTCGGATAAAGCTCCTTTTGAACAGCTTCGAATATTTCTCTGTTGCCAGCGACGTTGAAAATGATGTGTGCAAAGCCTTGTAGACATTTATTACACTACATGCTTCATTGACTGTACGAAAATAAGCCGCTACAATCAAATTCAGACGGTGCGCAGCACAGTGAACATAAATCAACCAAGGATAATATCTCTTCAGTTTAGCAGCAACGCCTTCGTAACATCCGCTCATAACAGATGCGCCATCTGCTCCAAGTGCAAGGAGAGTGGCCGACAAGCTCAGTTTTTTACTTGTTGGCAAAACTCCTTCATTCACAATGGTTTCATCAGTCTCTTTAAGTCTAACAAGATCATAATATCGTTCTTCAATTCGTCCTTCGTCATTTACAAACCTAAAACAAGTCGATAGCTCTTCATGCCCCGCATTATCTTTGCACTCATCGATGAGCATTGAATACATCCCCGTTCTGTCTATCTGTTCCTCGATCAGATGTCGAACCTCAGAAGCCATGGCTCTTATCAACTCGAGCGAAGATCCCTTTGATGTGTAGTCGTATACTTTGTACGTTTGAGTCAACCTACTATGCAGTTGATTGAATGTTGGGTTAGTGCGTAACATTGCCTTGATAAATTCTTTCCACTTTCCTGCATTGAGCGACTCATCAGTTTCATCATGTCCTCTATACGCCATCTCTTCAGAACAAAAGTACCGATGATATTCCAACAGCATCTTCATGTATTCTCGATTATGTTCCACTACAGATGGTCTTTCAGGGTCTAACATATTTCTAATACTAGCCCCTAGATTCTTTTTCTGGATGTTGTAACTTTCCCAACGAGCCATGGAAAGGAGGTGATCGGAGCATTTGTCATGTGCTTTAAATCCGCGATTATTTTCCATCGCCTTTGACCACTTAGAAAAACCAACTTCAGTGAATGCTGGGTCGCCTTGCACGTCGATGTGCTAAAATTCCTGCACGCAAAACAAAATGCTTTGTCTTTTGCAATGCTGTATTCAAGCCACAGGTAGCTTGTATACCAGGCTGCTCGAAAACAACGATTCTTCTGGTTTCTCGGATAGGACCCAAGGTTTGGTTGTGAGGGCCCATCGACCAAAGTTCCAAGATCACTCACTGCGGAGTCTAGATGAGCTGGACAAACTGCCACTTGTGGCGGCTGAACAATACATACTGAAGGAGTCAACGGAGTAACTGCACCAGATGTTGACGGGACTGGACAACTCAACGCTGTATTGTTGTCTCCAGTAGTCCTGACGTGAGCGCCATCTTCTTCGTTTACTGTTGTGGTTGCCACAGCTCCAGTTGTTGATGATGCTGCATCTGATTCGTTGGTTACTTCATGGTTTGCTCTTTTAGCGAAATATGAAGTTATTGTGCGATTTGCAGACCTCTTCATGTTTTTGAAGAGCGCCTCTTATCACTGTTTTACCCGTCTCAACAATACACTTTTCACAATAAAAATTTGACTTACGATATTCGATAAGTTTAAAAAATATATTGGAAAATTGATTTCTTATTTTATTCTTCAAAAGATTCACAATTATACAATTTACGGTCTGTAGACTTTAGTCTTATGAATAATGCATGCTTGCGGTTAGCTTTTTATACTAACAGGTACTGTAGGCGTGACTGAATTATGACCTAATTTCGAAAAATAGAACTATGACTGCATGACATTTCTGATGCAATACGCTAATACAATATGACTAAGCAAATTAATTTACATCCCATGACTAAGCTTAAAGTTATATTATATGATGAGACTTACATATTTATAATAAGTAATGATATATCTCTCAATTCCAGCAACTTTTTAAAGAAAATGTTAAAAAGCGACCGAGATATAGGAGAACATGCTATGACCACTGAATAGCTTCGCGCGAAACATGTAATTATGATTGACTCGAATTGTCAGTCTGACCTCTTGCGATTAAATACAATTAGTAAGGAACGGTCTAAGCCAAAACGCAAACGCAGTAGAAAAGTCACCGAAGCCAACATCGCGCATAGCTTGAACTTCGAGAGATTCTGTAAATACTATATTATAAGCTCTCTAATGTTGTCGCAATGATATATGCCTCCGAACAACAACTTATACTTTAGTGAATCCCACACCTTGATATTTGACACCAGCAAAGTTCACATTTTGTGGTTTGGCCACAAGTGGATTAACATTGGGGGCGGATAAAATGACAGAAATCGCCAAATCTTATATGGTCGTTTGAAGACAAAGCAAAATTACCCAATCTCCTCGACAAAAAAGAGTTTAAATTAACTACAGAGCGTTTTATCCGATTCGTCCCAAATTTGACCACAATGTTTAAAAGGTGGTGAATTTTGGCTAAAACAGTAGCTTCTAATGATGTAACCTTAATCGTGTCCAGTTACGGCAGTATATAGGCTCTTAAATTTATGATATACATGCATATATAATATAGAGTATTTTCCCGAGTGTTCATAAAACAATAGCAAATAATTGTATCAAATTTACTACGGACTATACAGTATCTATTCTATAGGTAGTAATTTTCAGGTGTTCTTTCACTTCTCTGGTTTAGATATTTATTACGTACTGCAAGTTCAGATTACCGGTTTTTTATGTTTACCACATGATTTAAACCAAAATTCACCATTAACTTAATGTTTTGAAAACCTGGAATTTCTTACAAAATGCGCTCTCAGAATGCTGCAAATGCCATTTCAGGGGTCCAAACACACGGTACATTATTAACTGCTCGCAAATTTTTGAAAATACAAAGCAAATGACAACTTTCCAGTGTACTTATTTGCATTTTCTGTTTATATTTTAGTACTCCTCCCCATCCCATTGCAGGGAATTTCTCTTACTAATTACAATACATTATACATGTATATAAACTTACAAACTTCATTACTCTTACTAACAATACATGTATATACATATACTGTAATAAGAAATATTGTATACATCCCTCCTCTAATTCTATATATAAAATTATACATACAATGTCAGGACATTACTAATATTGACATTGTATCATTTTATATATCCTGGGAGGTGCAGTGGTATATGTAGCAGGCGGGAAACAACAAAACGTGGACCCCAGGTCCATGGACTACTTTCGTGGACCTGGTCCATGGACTACACTCGTGGACCATGGACCACTCCTGTGGACCACTCTCGTGGACCACTCTTGTGGACCACTTGCAAAATTTCGACTACCGAACAATAGACCAAACACTATTATTCCGAGATTGGCGGGAACTATTTCATTATTCATTTCCATTATTTATTTCACAATCAATTCAGTTTTTGTTGATGAACAGTGAATACTAAGTCTGTAAAAATGCTGAAAAAATGTAGTCAGGGTTCCATTAAAACATATAGGAATACTGTGGAGAATCTGGAGGGGAGAGGAGGGGGTGTGTGGTCAAAGGATTTTACTGAATTATTCGAATTTTACTGTTAAAAAATCACTTGAACTGTAGAAGTCGTAAGTTGCAATGACCTTTCAATGCCTGAAGGTCCTCTTCCAAAAATATTAATTTTTTAAACTCGATTACTGCTTTTCTTGCATTTCCTGTAGCGATCGAGAAAAAACCTACCAATTTTAAGGGCATATATTCGGAAACTTTGCATTAAAGTCGTAATTGCACACTTATATTTTAGAACGGTCATGTTCAGAACTTCACATTTTGTGTAAAGTTTCCACAATGATAATAATGACTGAACTCGACTTGAGCACATTTTTGCATGCACAGTCAAGAATTCAAACCCCAAAAATCTAGTGTCTCGCAAGTGGTCCATGAGAGTGGTCCACGAGAGTGGTCCACGAAGGTAGTCCACGGACCAGGTCCACAAAGGTAGTCCACGGACCTGGGGTCCGCATTTTGTCGTTTCCCGTAGCAGGCTGGGCACGAAAATTGGTTCCCTGAAAAATTTGCCATTAATTAGGTCTAGTTTTACCCCATATGAGCAAAGTTTGAATCAAATGATTTTTACAAAGTTTTATTAATCACCATTCTAATATTATGTTTCCTTAATTTAATTAACAATTTCAATTAAAGAATTGATCAGCTGAATATTTATTTACCACTTGTGGTGACGCATCCTACTTTATTGTTTTACACTGTTTAAGAGTCCACTCAATGGAAAACATAATGCATAACATAACACGCAAACAACTTAATGTAGCAACAAATTTCTTGTAAAACAACTTGCCCACTGGGAAACCAACTTCAACTTGCCCATAATCATTTTAACACCTCTGCAGGTGAGGTTTCATTATAACAGCTATGCAGTGCAACTGGAGCAATCACACTGTAGCTTACAAACACCACAGCAAAGGTGTTTAGGAGAAACAGGTTTAACATACTTTTTGTTAGCATCCAGTGAAGTCAACAAAAATGTCCTGAGGCATTCACCATTACTTTGGCAAAAATGTCTGACAGCTTCTTGCATTCCAGGTTTGTTTTTTGCTATGTCCCGATTGTTGTAGAAAAGAATTGCAGTTGCAGGTTGTCCATCCCTCCCAGCTCTACCGGTTTCCTGGAAGTATGCTTGGATGGTATGTGGTGGGGTAATATGCACAATGCTCCGTATTCCTCGAATATCGACACCCATTCCCAGGGCAACTGTGGCAAATACAACTCTAATAATGCTTTGAGAAGAACACAACTGGTTTAAGACTTCATGTTTAATTTCTTTGGTTTGAGGTGAATGGAATTGAGCAAACAACCTGTCCTCAGGTATTGGCATAGACCCGGTAGGATAGTATTGACTGCTGCCCAAAACAGATTCAAAAATCTTGTACGCAAATCCGCACCACTTCAATGGGATGTACATAATTGTCAAGGGATAATCTATCTGTTCCTTTAGCAAGTCTTGTGCCATGGGAGTAAGTATTTTCATCAAGGAATCTACATCTGGTCCAACTCTAAAGCGTTTCTCATACATATGTTCTTGCGATCAGGAATACCAACAACTTCGCTGCATTCCTTTATGCCCAATATTTTCTTCATGCTTTCCCTATCGCTCTTGGTAGCAGTGGCAGTCATGGCTATGACAGGCACATTAGGGAAAGTTGCACATAAGACTGCCAAGTTTCCATAATCAATTCGGAAATCTTTACCCCTGGAATGACAATACATATATTTTAATTAATATTACCAAAACTTTCAAACAATGTTGATACATTAGCATTCCAACAGTATTTGGCTTTGAGGCTTTGTTCCGGGACTAGAGTCTGTGATAAGGTGGGGTGGGTGGGGGTCAGGCACATGGTAAAAGCAATCACCTGGACAAGGTTTTATAAATGTAGCTGATAGTATTTTGTAGATAGAAGTAATATTTATACAATATAAACAGCAAATAACACCAAAAGGAAGATGGAAAATTTCTCACCAACTGTAGTATAATATTTTATATAATATAAACTGCCCTTATCTGCAACTTAACCATAAAATAAGTATCAAGTTTCAACTGATAAAGCGATACTAAACAATGATATTACTATATTTTAAACTCACCAGTCTAAAATACAATGAGCTTCATCTACTACAATAGCACAAACTTTTCTTGATACGGTCTGGTGTGCATTAATTTCCTTCCAAACCTACAGGTAACGATTCGGGATGCGCAAACACAATGTTGTAGTATCCGATTTCCAATTTTTCTTTGTCGCTAAGACTGAAGTCACAAATCAGTTCAGGTTTCTCATCAAAATTCTCTTCACCAGAACTTCTTACATCCAGAGCAGATGATCTAATTCTGCCAGAGTTTAGCCGTGAAATTTGGTTTGCTATCAGTGCATTCAAAGGTGAAACAACAATAACAATAGATGCAATATTTCCAGTGCATTTGACGCCATTCTTCTTGGCAAATAGTAGAGCAGGAAGCAAGCAAAAAATCAACGATTTCCCGTATCCAGTTGGTAGGATGGCAAGAATATCCAAATTTAAAAATATCTTTTCCAGGCAAATCACCTGTTTAGGTTTTAAAATAATCTCACTATACAAACTATTTAGTATAGCAAACTCTAAACACGAAAGGAAAAACCCGCACTTTGTATCCTTCAACAACATGGCATTATGGCGTCTAGAACTAATTATGTATGCCAGTTTCGCATACCCCCCCCCCCCCACACGGGAAGAAAAGTTTTGTAGAGTCATGTGACCAGACAACACCAGGGTCTTTCCCAAAAAGACCCTGGGTACGAGGATGATTCAACAGTTGTATGTTATCAGTGGCACCGGCAAGGGAGGGGGCAAGGCGGGCAGCCACCCACCCCCCCTTTCCAATGTTTTCCAATGTAAAAAATGTTAAATAAGTGGTATTACAATTATTTAAATAATCTCATCGCTCATGGCCTATTTTTCCTTCACCAGTGAAATTCAAACAGGGACCTAAAATTGCGCTGAAATGTGCTTGGCTGTAATGATTTATACTTCTTTTCAGAAGATCTGAAGAAAAACCTGCGGGTATCAATCTGTATTTGGCGTGAGTTAAGATTTTCTGGAGCTCATAATCAATGATTTTTGCATAAATTATAGCTAATTAATATATTTCTTGAGAGGTGCTAAAAGTAAACTATTTCTTTCTGACTAACATATCTCTGATGAAAGAAACTACCACAGCTAGTAAAACCCTTTTTGTAAATATAGTCATAATATTCTTTTCCTGACACGCTGAGGGAGCTTTGTTTTTGAATGTTATGCCACATTCATTCAGTCTGACCAGATTCATAAATGTCGAATCACGAACTTGTATATTTCAAAAATATACCAGAATTCAGAAAGACCGATTATTCTTTCCTTGATTCAGTTGATTGATTTAGTTGATTGATTTAAAAAACTATAAGTATAACAGAACATTCCACGTGTTTCCCTTCCCCCTAGGCCTAGAACTTTTATGAATATGTTCTATTTTCCTGTGGCGACGGCATAAACAAAATACGACACAAAAATGTACATTCGAATTTATGATCGACATATCAGAATGTTATTTATGAAGTTTGAATTGAATTTACTTAATACGAAATAAATACTAAAATAGGAATTTTTATGCTGGGTTAGTAAAAGAAAAAGCATAATTTTAATTGTATGTAATTTCGATGAATACTATAAAAAAATTATACCCATTGTTTATATAAATTAGTTAACATGTTCACGTTTATTACGATAGTAGCGGTGTTTGTTTTAGCCACGTAACAAAATAAACTATAAGCATTCTGATCAGTTATTTAACAAAAATATCAATTATATAAATAATCGAATTTCAATATTTTTCTTTTAAAAAAATATATTCGTGAGCTCCATAGCTGAGAATAAATTTCAAAAGTTTGTGAATTAAAATTCACAAATTTGATATTTTTGTTAAATAACTGATCAGAATGCTTATAGTTTATTTTGTTACATGGCTAAAACAAACGTCGGTACTATCGTAATAAATGTGAAAATGTTAGCTAATTTATATGCCTTATATATACAATGCATATAATTGTTTTTATAGTGTTCATCGAAATTACATACAATTAAAATTATGCTTTTTCTTTTACTAACCCAGCATATAAAATTCCTATATTTATTAGTATTTATTTCGCGTTAAGTAAATTCAATTCAAACTTCATAAATAACATTCTGAAATGTCGGTCTTAATCCGTCCCACACTACGAGCCTAAGCCTGGCCTAGCTTTGGACTAGATTTTTGTAGTGTAAACGCACTTTGGGCCTGGCCTAGGTTAGGAAATGTGAAACACCTGTTCTGATGGCCCAGATTTCTTGACCTAGGCCAGGTCGAAGTGCGTTTACACTACAAAAATCTAGTCCAAAGCTAGGCCTAGGCTCGTAGTGTAAACACGGCTATATTAAATTCGAATGTACATTTTTGTGTCGTATTTTGTTATGCCGTCCCCACAGAAAAATAGAACATATTGATAAAAATTCTAGGCCTAGGGGGAATGGAAACACATATTATACTTATAGTTTTTTAAAATCAATCAACTAAATCAATCAACTGAATCAAGGAAAGAATAATCGGTCTTTCTGAATTCTGGTATATTTTTGAAATATATAAGTTTGTGACATTTATGAATCTGGTCAGACTGAATGAATGTGGTATAACATTCAAAAACAAAGCTCTCTCAGCATGTCAGGAAAAGAATATTACGCATATATTTACAAAAAGGGTTTTACTAGCTGTGGTAGTTTCTTTCATCTGAGATATGTTAGTCAGAAAGAAATTGTTTACTTTTAGCGCCTCTCAAGA